CAACACAATACGTTGCACGCGTATGAACCGCTCTGCCTATCTACCTACGCGCAACATTCAAACCGGTCTACCTTATCTGCTGACATAGCTGACTGTATGGTCACCCACGCTGAAGCATAGCGCTGCATTCACAATGATGCATTTTGAAAATCTATTGTTACTCTGTAACTATTGAAAGTCGACCACAAGTTTATAAGGAAATTTTTTTGCAGGAAATAACCCCAGGAATATGTACCATAAGCCGGGGTAGAACTTCGTGAATCACCCTGTATATATATGTTTCAACAACATACTATTGCATTCTATCAAATTTCAACAAACTTTTTGGAACTATTATGGGATAATGGAAAAGTTCATTTATGGCCAAATAGAAAACGGGCTTTGTGAAAGTTATATTGCATCTTGTCATCCAGCATCAAACTAGGAATACTTCTAAAATAAAACTTCAAATAAATATTTATTTTTGAGCTGCACAGTTTCTCCTATTGGACAAAGTTATGGTCTGTGTTTTAGAGCATGGTGAATTTGGTTTAGCTTGCTTGCTTGCTTGGGTTTTTTTGATGAGCTGAGTGTTGTTGCAGGGTTCCTATCTATGACCTTGGTGCCATTCTTGACAGGCCGTGTGCCTGACATAACCATAGTTCCTATCAACATTAGCTATGATCGAACCTTGGAAGAGATATTGTTTGCATACGAGCTACTGGGGGTACCCAAACCAAAGGAATCCACTTCAGTAAGTTGACTGGTTGCTTCTTGTTGCAAACAAATTAACTGCATGCATTCTGGTGATAGCCCTTCTCCTCATGTTATGGTGAACATTTATTTGTAACGACACTTGGTCTAATAGCTGTTGACTAACCACCTACCTAATTGACTTCATGATGTGGGATCTTCCGTGAGTAGTAACAGAGCTGGAATAGTTATGTTTGTAGAACAGCTGGACTATGGGCAGGATTAGTGAGGAACTGGCGTTCAGTTCTTGGTGGAGGACAAGAAACTTCTCTTCTTTGCAACATCTGGACTGGCTCTGGAGCCCACCCTGCCACCTGCCACCTACCTCCTGCCTCATGCTTTTCCATGGTGTGAAATGGCTGGGTTGTGAACCTGATATGCATCCAGCTCCATCTAGTGCCAAGATGGAGATTAAATGGAGCTGTAGTTGACAGTTTGTATTATTGTCAAAGAATTTCCTGTGAAGGAACTTGGATGGTCATTCATCTTCACTAAAGACTACCATTTGACCTTACCAGAACTAATATGAGCCAGTTTTCATCTTCACCTATGATGGCTGACCAACACACAACAGAACTCCTGCCCCAGCAAGAACACTCAAAAGAGCCACAACCAACAAATCAAACAAAACAAAAAGCAACCATTTGCAACCAAAGGACACCCACATGAAATTGATGGTAACCCACATCACCAAAATAACCAGAGGCAACTACAGTAGGAGGAAAGAAAACTGCATTACAGTGAGCAGCAGAATCCTTAAGCATAACAACCTGTACACCTGGAGATGGCCATTTAGGCTGAAACATGTAGTGTCCAATGAAAGGAATATGAAGAAGGAATAGTGTGTGATGTTGCACATAGATGGCACAAAAGCTCCAAAGTCATTTCACCTAATTCCTTTAAGATCTAATTTAATGTCATCATATTCCATATATCATTGTTTCCCAAGTGGTCTCATCCCAAGAGTTTACCAACTAATTTTTGTGTTAAATTCTTGTTTCCTCATTCGTGACAATATGTCCTGGCCAGCTTACATTTCTTGATTTAATTGCCCTTTTAATATTAGGTTAATAGTAAAAATTGTGTAATTTTCTCAGTTTCCCTTTACTTCCTCTCTGCTGCCAAATATTCTTTCAGGAGTTTGTTATTAGACACCCACAATACTTATTCATTCCTCATTGAGAAGTTGCAATTCATGGGTGGCTAAGCCCAGTACATCATGTTGCCAGAACTTAATCTGAGATTACCTCAACCAACTGCACTTATCTCAGGTTATCTCAACCCAATTAGACCTAACTCAGCTACACAGTTGAGCAGCTAGCACCCTTGCTTCTTATTCAGTAAGTTCCAGGTACAAATCTCAGGCTAGAGACTGACTATCCTGACTGATGGGTGCCCCCCCCCCCCAGTGGTACCAGGGAAATACCGTAATAGCACCCTGAAGTAGGCTGCCCACCACTGCTTCTTTATGCTTACTTTCAGATTTATTATTCACTAATCATCACTTTATTTAATCATACATCATGCATAATCTTGGCAATTGAAAATGATGTATGAGCTAAGGAGGAACTAACAACGAATGGTTGGTAACCAAGCTGAATTTGATTTAACCTAACATAACCAAGTTCACATAACCTAAAACAGTTCATTCCTGCCTCATTTAAATTGTAACTTCTATAACATAAAACTGCAGTAATCTTAACATCATTTTGATTTTCCTACCTGTGAGTTACATTATAACACATTAAAGTTAGCTCCCTCGGGTTACGTGAAGGTATCCTAAGTTATTCTATATCTTGTGAAGTCTTCACATAGCTGGAATAGCTCACTTGGCATATGGACAACTGAGGTATCAGTCTGATTCCTGGTAGGGGCAGAATATATCTTACATCATTCATTCTACACACTCTTATTCCTTGTGGCTCGATATATTGTCCATAAGATATTTCTTTAAAGTATTGAGTCCTGTTTTCTTCTCTATTCTCTAGAGTCAAGACTTTAGAGCCCAGTCTGTATGCTGGCTATAAAATTTGTATTTAATTAACGCATTCAAATAAATTAGTTTCTCAGACATAACAATCCTTATTTGCATTAATAACCCACCAGCATGTAATGGAAAAATAGTAAAATCAGGGGCAGTCACATCACAGAATTCCTTTGTCCCTGTAGTTGGGTCAGTCAATCCAGTAAGTGTTATCATTCATGTGTATATTTCTATGTATATAGGTAATAAAGTGAATTCGTTGCTTCTGTCTATGTCTGGCAGTTGTGTCTCCTGTTCTCTGATGTGTTGGCTTTGACGTAGTGAGTTGTTTGTTATTGTATTTAATAAAGATTTATGTTTATTCTTTATTCCAGGGTTTGATAAAAGCCTTGAATATGCTGAATGAAAGATATGGAAAGGTGTACGTAGATTTTGCAGAACCACTCTCGGTGAGAGAACTCTTCCAGCTGAATGGGCTTCAGCGCTCTCTGCCTACTCCAGAGTCACCTCAGGATCAGCACACATTGTCAGCCAATGAGACAATGTTCTGTGTGGATGTGGCTCATCGAGTGGTACAGCAGCAGCAGCGCCATTCTGTGATCACTGCTTTTAATCTGATATCCATCATCCTTAACAACTCAGTGCTTGAGGGCTCTGGCCCACCTCTTTTAAATGAGGTGGTGGCAAATGTCTCCTGGTTGAAGTCTGTTATGGAGGTGTTAGGAGCTCTGATTGACATTCAAGGTAAGTAGCTACACAGTGCAGTCACTCCTTCCCTTTGTTGTTGTATGAATCAGTTACCAGCATCAGCTTTTTCAGTTAATATATCCTGTGGTCATTTCAGAATGAGTCTTCGTGTACCCCTTTTCGTTACTTACTCATGGAGCTGGGACCTTCTGGAGGAGCCGCCAATTCTGCAGCTACTCAAGAATTTCCCAGCATTTTATGGAACCTGAAGGTTCATTTCCATGTTCACAAGAGCCCTCCACTGCTCCCTATCCTGAGCCAGATCTATCCAATCCATGCCATTCCATCCATCCCATCTAAGATCCATTCTAATATTGTCCACCCACCTACGCCNTGGTTTTCCCAGTGGTCTCTTTCCTTCCGACTTTCCCACCGATATCCTATATGCATTCCTCCTGTCTACCATTCGTGCTAAGTGACCTGCTAATCTCATCCTCCTTGACTTGATCATTCTAATTATACTTGAAGAAGAGTAAACGTTATGAAGCTCCTCATTATGCAGTTTTCTCCAGCCTCCTGTCACTTCAGGAGGTTGGAGAAAACTTCCCGTCTTGTCTAATGATTTATAATTTCTATAAACTCGAAAGTTTCATACCCACACTTTTTAGAGTAAACGNAAACTGAATTCATTCCATGCACGGAAAAACTGTGCTAAAGAAAGCTGTCAAGGCATTTTCTTAGGCCATTTCAACTTATGCTTGACAGTGTATGAAGTACATCTCACCCCCCACCCCCTACAGGCTTAATGGATCTGTTTGGAGTAATGTACTTCACTTGAAGACCACTACACTAAACAATTATTCATATGGAGAAGTTTGTTCCTTGCTTTCTTGCGATGAATCTTTGGCACCAGTTTTGCATTTAATTATGCCACAAGAACTGTACATGGTAGTACTTGAATTTTTTGGTCACTTTGAAGTGCTTGATAAAATGTAATGGTTGAAGTCATGATTACTTTAATGTAAGTCCAGCTGATATTTTATTAGAATAATCTAATGCCACACTTGTGCCTTTGTAACATCCAGTAATTGACCATGCTTTAATTTACTGTGATTACTTTTATATCTAGACACTTAACCAAAATAAATATTTAATTTTGCTTGTTTATAGGAGTAAACACAGAGTAAACTAAGTCTATGTTCATGCCCAAGTATATAATAATAATTGTATTTACATCCATAACTGTATATGTTCGTGTCTTGTCTCTAGATTGCAGGATAACATAATTTCACTTTCCCAACTAACTGTCTGTTAGCCCTTGTTGTATAGCCTTGGCACACACCCAGTAGAGAACACTGCTTCCAAAATTCCCTCAATTGTGTGTGTATTGATTGCCCCAGAAACATGATTACCATACTGTTGCCTGGCAATAGGTGTCTCTTCTTGTTCCAATATTCTCCAGCTTTCAGCCATCATGTCAGTATTATAAAATTAACTGTCTGTTCTGTATGGGTTCATGGTTTCAGAAGTCTCAGAAACAATGATTTACTCACCTCATCTAGAACTGAGGTCAAGATTGATGGAACTGTAGCTTGCAGTTCCCCATGTGCCTTCATGGCATAGTGGATAATTACATAATTATGTACAGGGATAATTTAATGTTTGCACTGGTTTGCTATATATACTAGAATCAGATAATGTGATGAAATGGTAAACTGAACATAATTATGTGAACTGGAAGGTAATGTACTATTCTACATGAGTACTGAGGTGAGAGGGGTTGAGAGGCACAGAAGTACTGGCATCCCTTTCCACATACAAGCACAATGAAGTGAAATGAATTTCAGATGGTCCTGTTAATGTGGAGGTAGCCGTGAAAGAAGCCATTGCTGTCCACAAGTCTCTAGTTACACTGACACCAACCAACCACTTGAAGTTGATTAAAGTGCATACTACTGCTCACAGAGTGAACCCAGCTAAACTGAAAGGTTGGTGTTTGTCTTCATAGCTCTCCAACTTCTTTGATTTCTAAACATTTTTGCAACTTACAGTCAACTCTCGATTATCCGGGGGCGGATTAACCGGTTTGCGGCTTAACCGTGGCTACTGGGGCTTTTTTGAGGCTTATATGTTGTTTAACATTCATTCACTTTTGTTTCACATGGCGAGTTGTAACACTATTTTCGCACTAGTGTGAACCGAGCTCTGCATTCTTTGGTCCCGTTATGCTAACACAATGTTCTAGGGTAGGGGTGAAAGAATGCAAGGATTTGTGGAAAGTTTCAAGGACAGATACATCGCCCCAGTTAGTATCTTTGTATTGATCTTCAAGTGCGTTAGCAAAATGTCAGTCTGTAAAAGGAAGCGTGTTGTGTTAAGTATTCAACAGAAAAAGGAAAATGCCGTGAAAAAGTAAACGACAATATTAAATTTTTTTAAGTGTTAAGTGTGAATGTTCGTAAAAAGTGTTGGATGTTGTCGAAGACTGTGATTGAAATAACTAATTCATACTTCAGTGTAATGTAAAAAAAGTATTAAATAGGCCATGAGATGACATAAAAATGAGGTTGAATAAATTTAAATGCAGGTAGGCCTATAGTATTATGAAGGTACAGTATTACAGTACTACTTTTAATAAAATTTGTCTTAACCGGGTTTTCGATTAATCGTGATTTCCATCCCCACCATTATCCCGGATAATCGAGAGTTGACTGTATTTATAGGGGTATATTTGATTTCTTTCTTTGTTGCAAGATTTACTGAGTAGCACTGAAGAGTACATAAAAAATGGGGATAAAAGATGATAAATTTTAATACTAAATCAGTATTTAAAAGGGAAGAAAATAAAATGGTTAGGACACAAGAAAGAAATGGTTCATCATGCACCTAAAATCACAGGAACTCTGGTTGGAAGGTAAAAAAACTTGAAAGTCTTAGTTTGGTCTGTTAAATAAATAGGAAAGAATTGGTTGGCAGATTATAGTTTAACATGGGATGAAGGGCAGTGTTTTTGTAATTAATCCAAACAATTTGGAAGTGATTTGAGGAGGAAGATGACTCTGCCCCATGCATTATTTTTCTTTAGTTTGCTTCAGGATTTGTCTAGATAGTGAGTTTCTTATAGATGTATTTTAGAGAATTTTCCAGTAAAGGGCCTGTCAGTCTCCCTATATATAAATTTCCCCCCACATGGCAAAAGAATGTTACAATTGTGCTGTGCACCAAAGAAAAATAGCATATTTGTAAGAGTTTTTGGGTGGACAGTGTAAGAGTAGTTTAAAGTCACTATGAGTGGGTCAGAAGTGGTCAGATATTTTTAATGAAAGACCTCTAGACACCCCAAGAACTTCAACCACTGATGACATAATTATGAAGGTGGAATCAATTAGTTATGACAGACAAGTTAGGAGAATGGTGGTAATGTAGTCTCTATAGCGACTGGCTATGAGCTGGACGACCAAGGGGTCAGAGTTCAAGTCCCAGTAGGGTCAAGAATGTTCTCTTCTCCAAGTTGTCCAGACCGGCTCTGAGGTCCACCCAACCTCCTATCCAATGTGTACTGGGGGCTCTTTCCTGGGGGTAAAGTGGCCGGGGCGTGAAGCTGGCCACTTACCTGCAGCTAGTGCCAAAATCAAGAAAATGTGGATCTATGCATCCACTCCCCCATATGCCTTAATGGCTTAGTGCTTAAATCATTAAGCACAGGGACAACTTTACCTTTAGTAGAAAAGTTAGGTTCATCCACATTGCAGCTGGACTGAACTTTGCGTTACATTTTCGCGACAGTATTAAGTTTTGTAAAGTTATGAGATCAGTGTCAAAGCAGTTTAGACGACTACATTTCAAACAATTTGGAGATCACTTCACAGCATCTGTTGTGATGTCACAGTGAACAGGATGAAACATTGGTAGCGGGCTCTGAACTTGTAAGGAAATATCATGGCCACCAACAAGAAATTCAGAACTCAAGTTTCTGTCACTGAATTTATGTTGTCTTGTTTCTGGATTTTGAAGTACCAGACTACTACTCATAGTAGATTTTTCATGAACTCTGTGTTGCAGTAATTACTGTGATATGCTGTGTCATGCTCACAGCAAGTTGATATTGTGGCAAGTAGACCCATTGCTAGGCAACCATCATGAAACAAGCAACTATACAACAGCTGTTTCTAGGTGGTGGCCCCACCAATATACAAAAACACAGCAATTCCATGGCAGAAGGAGGATACAACAATAATGGGAAGCTGTGTTTTCTATGTGGTTCATGCTGAGATGTTAAAAACAGGACAAGTTAGGAGCTAGAGTCAGTGAAGAGTTGGTTGGTGAGTTAGTCAGAGAACTGAAGTTTGGTTGTTGTGAGCTGATGGTGTAAAAAGCTGGTAGCTGAGGCTGGTGATAGTTTGTGAATCCAGAGCAAGGGGAATGCCTGCTACCAAGCAACAGCTAGTGGTGAATGTAACAGACTGAGAACACTAGTCTGTGTATGACAGTGATTTTGTAAGGTACGGTCACGAATTGTGTGTTAAAAGTGTTCGGTAAATCTGATTACCAATCCAAACCCCATATGCTGTCATTCATATATGTGACAGTATTATATGTTAGAAAAAAGTGCAGATGTAGACTCCCGAAAGCTGTTCTCAATCTTAGTGATAGTGTCACAGAGACTGAAACAGACAGTTAAAGTTTGAATTGCATATCCATCCATCCTGCTGTTACATATCCAGAGTCTGCATGACTAATGAGATGGGTTTTGGATTTGATGATTGAATTTATTGGGCTCCGTGTGTGACTGGTTACAACAGTTCACAAATCACTATCTGATACACTGTCATTATCTTCCGACTGGACACTCCATTGTCCTTCTTTAGTTCTCATTCTGATTTGGTTCTGCTCTTTATATAGACTCTAGGCGGACCCATAGAAAACACTGCTTCCTCTATTGTTGCTTTTACAGTGCCATTTCATAACAACGGAAGTTATCCATTTTTTGCTGCAGGAATGTGTTCACTGAGTCATTCCCTAACAAAGGGTCTGCATGTCACAATATAGGTCTGATCTTGCATTTATCAGCTACAACATGTATGGACTACCGAAGGAGATTATACATGATCAGACGTTCTCATATGGGAACAGAGTGAAAGAGAATGGTGCAGATGTGGCTGCAGAATGAACAGATAGAGTTTCTTACAGCCTGAAAAAAACTTGTGTTTGGATATGGTGCGCTTAAGATCTGGGAGACTGTGTTGAAAACCAAAAGAATTCAAATGTTGCCTCTTTTCTGTGTATATTATTTTCTTAGTGGTAAGCGGTAGTGTAGTTGGTTGAGGCAGTATGCTACAAGCTGGAAGGTCGTGGGATCGAATCCTGATGAGGTCATTGGATTTTTTCTCAATTTACCTAATCCTTCCAGCTGCACTGTGGCCCTGGGGTTGACTCAGCCTCTAACAGAAATGAGTACCAGGAATATTCTTGGGGGTAAAGGGCGGCCGGCGCGTAGGGCTGACAACCTTACCACCATCTATGAGCCGATTGTCTAGAAAATGTGGGAACCTCAACATCTCACAACCCTATGGGTCTCCAAGGCCTGTTACAGAGATACCTTTACTTTTTTTTTATTTGCACTCACACCATTGTTGAAAATGTATCTCAAGGAAGGCTGAAATATACTGCATCATTTTTCAGGACACAGTATGTCTGAGCATACAATGGGTGTGGCAGTGCCCATGGTAATGATACAGCATTATTTAAACCCATGCCTTCACTACCTCATTGGTCCAGCTTTGGTTACACTTGTTATGTGGCATCTTGATGATGCAGTGGAAATCACAAGAGGTAAGTACAACAGACCACACAAACAGCTCTTGGAGAGGGGCAGGATGAGGTAGAACTCTCCTCTGGTGCAGACTGAGATCAGTGTGGCACAAAAACGTTGCTGCTAGCTTCCTGTGAAGCCTGCAGCTTTAGGACAACAGGTATCTTTTGAATCAATACAGATTTTGAGCCAGAAATACCCCACATGATAATTTAAGTTTTTCCATTGCCACATTTCATACACACTGCACTTCTGTCACCTGTCGTGAGCTTTTCTGAAGGAAAAGTTTCATAATCATCCAGCTTCAGGATTTCATACTGATGTGCTTTGGCATGATTTGATATTAAAGTTTGCATAAATCTGGATCTGTTTTAGCTAAACTACCTTGCTTTTTTACATAAGATTTGAGGTTTGTATGGCAGGGGTTATGAAGAGGTCTTTCTTCTGGATTATAACTCCAATATACTGAGCTAACCCAACCCCAAATTTAGGGAATATAAAAACAACTTACCTTGGCCAACAAAGTGTGGATTGCACTGCCTGATTGGGAGGCACGAACAAACCCAAACAGTTTTAGAGTTTTAGAGTAATAACCAGATAGAATTAACAGGTTGATCTTCTGAAGGCAGATATCTGCAAGCAGTGTGTGTGGAGGAACATCTGCTGGCCCTGTCGAGGGTTAACAGTAGGGGTGCATGTGCACAGGATATATAGCCAAAACAGTGATCAAGGTGAAAGGCCTATATGCAGCCATGTGTTAGATCCTTCTGGCATGCTTCCTTTCTTCACATTTAAAAGAGTGCAGAATTTTGCCGTGACAGCTCAACTCATGCTATTCTCTGCTGTGTTGCAGGCGATCTGTTCCAGAATTTTAACTTCCTGAGATTGCTGTTCGCCTATGAATTTGCCTTTTATGCAGCTTGGGCAGAGAAGGTGAGTTCAACATTCTCTGTTTTGAAGATAAATGTTCTCATGAATCATTATTCCTATCCCTTATTATTACTTGGTTGCTATAAACCCCAAGAGAGTGTAGGTCATTAAGAATTCACTAGGTGCTGTTTTACAACTATATAATATTGTAACGTGGATGGCCAGAACATTTCAAGTATCAACGACCTGTAAACAACCTTCAGTTGAGTGTGTTACAACAATAGGCTGAATGTTTATAGCTCAGGCAACAGCCAGCACATCAATGAAGTCACTGGCTAGGAATCATGTGACTTGTTTTCTGTAGGTCTGTGCCCAAGCTTTATAAGGGACAACAAAGTCTGTTTGCAGTCAGTTGTAAGCTGGAGGAGGGAAGTAGAAGCTACAAGGCAGTTGAGGGTACACGGATGAGAATGGAGCATGTCCTTAGTGAATTACGAAGATTTTTTGAGTACAGATTGGGACAGAGGAGTACAAAGTGACTGAAGACAAGAAGACTTCGTAGTGATTCGAAGTGATAGTTTCTGTGTTGAGATCCATTGCTAGGAGACGACTACTGGAAACAGAATACTAGTGTGTGTGCAGCAGTGAACTGGGAAGTGTGTAAATCAGTGATAGTGCTGTATTGGCTGTAATTAAGTGTAATTAAGAGTGAGTGTGTAACCGAAGTGCTAATGAATCCAATCATCTGAAGTAGAACCAGTCATTTTTGTCGTGCTTACCGCCCTACATGTGAAGTTGCCAGTCTTCAGGCTGAGATTCAAACCAGAGACCCCTGCATGTGAAGTATGAGTGCCAACCACTTGCCCACAGTATTTGATGGTGAAGCTCAACAAGTCAGAAACACAGCCAGGGGTTCAGGAAGGGCAAAATATTTTTGAGTAAGCATCTTGTTGAAGTCATGTCTTAGTTCTCAGTCAGTCACAGTTTGAATCAGTCTTTGTCAACAGCATTGTCATCATTTTAAAGTGTAGAAACTGATGAATGTGAAGGAATCTGTCACATTTCATTGTTCTGCCATAAGAACTGCAAAGAACTTCAGGCTGTCACTTAATCCCCCAAAACAGGAATATTTCAGATTCAGTAACGTCAGGTTACTTTAAAAGATCCGTTGTCATGAGTATAAGTGTCCCATAATTTTGGTTGGGTCTGCTTCACCAGCAGAAGGATAACAGTCGTGGAATACAACATTAAAATCCTGTATGGAGTCAAGTGCTTTTTGATCTCAAGGTACCATGTTCTGACTTTTATCGGATGTGTCACCAATAAATTGATGGGCATTCCTCTTTATCCCTTCTCTTGCTTCTCACTTGGATACTTGGATCCAAAATGGGAAGTGTGTCCTCAGGGTTGCTCTTAGAATAGAAATAGGAACCCCTTCACTCATTTACTGTTGCATATTGAAAACAAACTACTTGGCTTTAGTCTGCAAGTTAACAATACCGACTGAGCGACCGCTGCTTGTTGGCGAAGTTAGTGCCAACTTTAGTGGATAGAGTGTGTCGCGTGGTCAGTGCAACGGATCCCCACAGCTGTTAATCTCGGTTTTCTAGACCGGAGCCTTGTATTTCCTTGAAATAGCTCCTCAGTTATCCTCACAAGGCTCTAGTGGACCCCGTTCCAGACCTACTACTTCTCAGAAAATCTGGTAGCCCTCGGAATCGAACCTGGGACCTCTGGATCTGTAACCAGGAACTCTGATCACTAGACCACAGAGGCAGTCAAACAGTATTATCTCCACTATATTGGTAGCTAACATACCGGGCTACTATAGAGTTTTCAAACTTTCCAACATATTTAAAAAATGTGCAATATACTGGGTGTTCCTAAAAGAATGGTGGGGTCTCATTGCCATATATCTACATCAGTTTTTGGTGATGAAAAGCAAAATGTATACGGATTCATAACACGGCTCTCAAATTTTCATTTTGTATATCGCGTTCTTTCCTAGTTCCATTTCCGACAGTTAGGAGGCGTGAAATGTAAGATGGCGACCCAGCAGGAGAAGGGCTATTGCGTGCTGAGATTTGAGGTGTCTAAATCCATCGTTACAGTGCTCCGTGAATTTTGTGTACGTTTTCAGAAGGAGGCGCCGCATGAAAACAACATTCGCAGATGGTACCGGCAGTTTGTGGACAGTGGATGTCTCTATAAAGACAAAGAGTTCTGGGCGGCCACGTGTGCCACATGCAGACGTGGAAAGAGTGAGGGAGACGTATCAGAGAAGCCCAAGAAAATCATTACGTAGAGGAAGCAGAGAATTGCTTGTTGGGGTACGTGAAGGACATGGTTTATGTACCCCCATTGCCCCAATCGCTCCAGGATCTCTGAAATAGAATCAATCATGCTGTGGAGACCATCACACCTGAAATGCTGCGGGGGGTGTGGCAGCAATTCGACTATCGCATTGATGTGTGCCGGGTAACGAAAGGTGCGCACATAGAGGCACTTTGATGGATGTACATAAAATTTGGACAGTTAAGCTTTCGATTGACACATGTTATGATTGTACATGGTAAGAAATATGAAATATCTAAAACCTCACCATTCTTTTAGTAACATCCTGTATATGTGTGAAAGTAATCAAAATGATTGTAAAGGACTGTAGACTAAGCCATGTTTATAAAGAATGGTTATTCTATGTATATATAAGTGGATTTATTCTTAATAACACAATTTTTATTTGGAGTAGTGTAAAAGTATAATAAATACAATATAATTTACAATGTTTTGCACTTTGCAGTATTTAAATCCCAGTTGAATGTAGACAGGCTTATTATGTTCCAAGAATTTAATTGGTGACTGAAAGACCATATGGTGTTGAGTATATTAGCAGAATGCGGTATAAATTCTAGTACATGCCTGTGCTTATTTGTTGGTAGTCTTACCCTGACACTGACTGCTGTTGCAGGAGTTTGATGATGCAGTGAAGCAGCTGGAAATGCTGAGTGTTGTGGAGCCCACCAAGTCTGATAGATTGAAACTGGGCAACCACAGGAAGCTGCAGATTCTGCTCTTAAACCTGCTGCAACCATTTCTGGAGGGCTACCTGACTGTGTGTCAGTTACTGCAACAGGTATGTTGGACGCCAGAATCATTTTTAAAATGGTGGCAGTAGGGGAAATCCCAGTGCCCTCATCACTGCTCTTGAGGCTGTAACCAGTCACATTAATAAAATTAAGTTGTCCCTTTTTTAATTAAGTATCATGCTATGAAGAAGTATGGGAGAGTGGAGGTATACATCCACATTCTTAACCTCAGCACTAGATCATCAGCTTCATGCATCTGGCACTTCACTCTTGGAAGAGCTCCCAGTATCCATTTGATAGGAGGCTCTGTGACACTCAGAACCAAACTGAACAGTGCTGAACAGAGAATATCTCTTGTCTTGAACCAAATTCCTTTGTGGGCCATCCCACAGCATAATCCAGCTGAGCACCTCATCATCACATTGTCTGTTTTATTTAATTGGTGACATGGCTAGCGAGCAGTTTCACTTTAAGTTCCTAAGCACACAATAATATGTTTACAGTTTGTTGAAGTTCCAAGTATTTTGGTATGTGAAGTTATAAACAAGCAACAGCCATGTGCTCTGTTCAGGAGCTTGCTTCATGAGTTGACTTTTGTGTGTTACTTCAGACACTCCTGGCATATGGTGGTTTATGTCTCAGTCAGTAGTTGACAGAATATCATTATATAGACCAAGAACACCGTTAATTACACTATGAATCCCGTAATTTCTGAAGATTGAAGTACAGTTTAAAATTTTAAGGGAATGTGTTTGTTTCCCAGTTTATACTGACATATTGAATATTTCAGACTGCTTCAGATCCATGCTCTGAGAGTCTGCTATTAACGTCTACACAGCGGAGAGTGGAGGAGCTGCTGGGATCTGGCATTATCTTGCACCCCTATGCTTTATCACTTGATATGCATTCAGCTGCATTACAAGCATTGACAGCCCTCCAGGCAGTGAACAGGCTTAAGAGGTGAGCCACTGCAGCACGGTAGATTGGTCTGTAAGTAGTGTAATTACAGAGCTCTGTAATATCAGATGAGCTGCTGGTTGTGTGTGATGAAGCAGTTTGGAATCAGATAGGTTTGATTTATGGCAGAGAAGTACCATTTTGCTTGTACTCTGTTGTCAACTTCATTTTGGTGTAATGTGTAGAATTTTATAATTTTTATGAGAAGCAGCCCCATCATTGAAAAATATCTTTCTTTATATGTAATGCTGTTTTTTAAACAGTTTCTTGGAAGCCAAAACTGTGTTGCTGTGGAATGTATGTCCATGTCTTTTTACAAGAAGAAATAAAAAGTAAGAAAAAATCTGCATGTAGCATGTTTCTGACACTTTTATGATTAGCACATCCAATTTAGCCAAAAATGGTATATTTTGTATGTGGTATAAAAACAATTAAAATTTGTGTGGTCTTAATTTAATTTGGGTTTACAGAGTGTAATGTTTTGTTCACAGAAATGGTATGGTTCTGTATCAGGCTCAAACAAGAAAACTGCTAGAGGTCACTCAGAAACTAGGCAAGTACAAGTTCTGTCATGACCTCAGTGCTGTAATTTCACTGTTCATTTCTATTGTTTAGCTGTGTCTCTCAGACTTGAGGATACAATATGAAATGAATCAGGAAGTCATGATAGAATACTGTGCAAATATATTGTGCCATGACAGCTGAAAGCCAGAATAATGAAATGAATAGATGCAACCATTGCTAGGCAAAGTCACAGTAAACATGTGTATGGCAGTGAATAAACAGGCAACAGTAGAGAGTTGTGTTTTCTGTGCAGCCATTGCTAGGCTGCAGCGTGGTAAACACATGTCTGCAGCACTGAACACAACACTGGAGGAGCCTTTTTCAGCAGTGTCTTCTACACAGTCTGTGTAAAAATTATATAACAACCAACTGGACAAGCCAATCAGTCTTGAGTTTCTTTGTTAGCAGCCACTACCTAACAATGACTGTATAACAAGCAGAAGACTTAAATTCTGTTCAATTGAAGTAGATAATGAACTGCTGGAGCTAGGTACGTGAAATTTGATAGGGTTGTAGGCGATATTGTTTATGATTCAACAATTGCAAATATGGCGACAGTGTACATCTTTGAAGTTATGCAGACAAATATGTAGACAGAAGGTGTGATTAAGTAATAAATTCTTCCCAAAAATAAAATTAAACTAAACAGGAAGACGTGCAGATGCAGTGACAGTTGCAGCAACATAATAATGACATCAGCCGTGGTTGTTCAGAATTGGCCATTTGTTTATTCATTTATTGCATAGCAATGACTGTCCTCGTTTGTTCCAAGGTTTCTGATTAGCTGCAAAATAGTGCAGGGACATGGGTGCTAGGCCTCATATGTGGAGTGTTTTTTTTTTTAATATCTTTAATGTTTATCTTATCTCACAGATGATTTATGCTGTGCTTGGTTTATATATCATATATTGTGTTTGTGCTGGTATCTGAGATAGGGACTAGCTCTGTTGATTGAGACCAAGGGAGCAGGTTTCACTTGAAGATGGAGACAGAATCCAGTCCCCAAAACGTTGTTTTTTAAATTAAAAAAAAAAAGCAAGACGATGGGTAATATCCAGAAACACAGCAACCGTATTTCTTTTCAAGTTTGAAATTAAATGCAGCTACTAAAATTTGCATCCACCAGCATTTGTGAATGTAATTCTGTGTGTGTATAGAGACCTTGCATATCCTGACCTAGGAAAAGTGTCTTCATGGTAAGACAAAGAACTGAAACATAGCTGTTAATGCACTAATATGGGACATATGCCCCGGAATAAAGTTTATTGGAAGAGAAATTGTGAACTGCATTCACAGATGCCATGTCTGTTTCATAATATAATTTTAACAGTATACCTGATACTTGAACAGATGGCTGTGGGAACTTGTGTATGAGAAACATGAACTGGAAGGAATAGAATGAGGAACAAGGTAATGGCACAGCAGGCTTAGGAGAAGAAGGAAAATTATCAATTTTAGACACGATTGTTTAGGAGAAGGTTACCACAGGTTCACTGTTCTCTTTAACTGCATAGTTTAACACTTTCACTGCCTTGAACAAGCCTGTCTAAAACTATGACAGAGAATTTCACCATTTAAAATTTTGCTTTAACAGGAACAATTTTTCTTCCAGAAAATGCTTTGAATAAGTGGCTTCCTCCTCTGTTGCTGGATGGTGATTTGTTGGTCATTTGTAGAGTGTTTGCTGTTCACATCATTACTGTGAAACATTGCCATGCTAGCAGTTAAGCGAACAGCAGAGGTGTAGGGTCTGTAGGTGTTCATTCTTATTTATTTTGATATGGGAAATTACGAATACTTGTTCAGTAGTCTAGAGGTCAGCTTTCCTGGCTACAGATCCAGAGGTCTGGGTTTGATTCCCGTCACTACCAGATTTTTCTGATAAGTAGTGGGTGTGGAATGGTGTCCACTCAGCCTCATGATGATAATTGAGGAGCTATTTCAAGGAAATACCAGCTCCGGTCTAGAAAACCGAAATTAACATCTGGGGATTCATTGTGTTGACCATGCCACATCCTCTTCCCAACAAGCGGCAGTTGCTCGGTCAATATAGTTCTCTTGCGAACTAAAATCGCGGAGTTTGCGTGTTGTTTGTGCATTGTTCATTTACCTGTTGAATGCTATTTCCGGTGACTGCCTCTGTGGTCTAGTGGTCAGAGCTCCTGGGTTTGATTCCCAGCGTTACCAGATTTTCTGATAAGTAGTGGGTCTGGAACGGGGTCCACTCAGCCATGTGAGGATAACTGAGGAGTTATTTCAAAGAAATAGCAGCTCCAATGTAGAAAACCAAGATTAACAGCCATGGGTCTCCATTACGCAGACCAGATGACACCCTCTGTCCGCAAAAGTTGTCACTAACTTCCCTGACAAGCGGTGGTCACTCGGTTGGTATAGTTCGCTTGTGGACTACAGACCATGGAGTTGGTTTTTTGTTTTGTTTTCTGCTATTTCAAAGATATCCTGGACTGGCACAGACTGGAGTGTATTGTCTGAAGTATCTTCTGTGCAGGTTGCATTATTTTTTTAGCATACACAATCTCTCCTCATATGACAAACATTTTGAGGTATCTGTGTATTTCTACCAGTCCTGATTAGTTGGTGATCTAAGGAATACTCAGCAGTTAGAAGATTAACCCACGTAATAATAACATACTGTTTCGGCCTAAAGGGTTTCATATGAACCATATGCCTAATTCAAGAGATGTTAATTTCTGTGCAAATGTGGATTCCTTAAATACATGTTGTATCTGTTTCCCTTACAGAGAACTTGAAGTTCCAGTCTGAAGAGAAGTTCCACCCAAGCAGCACAGGTTTCAGGCATTTTGTGATTGATGGGAGCCAGCAGGCAAAGCTTTAGTAACAACTGCTAAATCCTCTTGTAATTCTTTGTGTGTTTCTCTTTAATGTGAATATTTTTGCTTGTATGTGTGCACATCTGTGGCACCTTGTGTGTCTATATCATGGCAACTTCTATGAGTTTTGAGCAGACTAGATGTTCATAGAATATTTTTATTTTTAATGTTTGCATCCTGTTGTGTGAGTATAACTGATAATACAAATTCCACTGTCAGCGCAACTATAATTTATTAACTTATGTTCCACTACATGTTTCAACCCTTAGGCCGTCTACACACGGAGCTACTCAAAATAAACTGATTAGTGACGCAAGTTACTAACGAGTCTGCAATGAGTCACTTCCAATGTGTCTGAATGGAACACCACACACGGCGCTACTGATCACTAACGCGTTACNAATTTTAAAATGTGTATACAATTCAATAAGGAAAATGTGAATCACAACACCTGAGGATGACACTATAAAGTTCGAAACATGTAGCAGAACAGACATTAATAAATTATAGTTGCACTAACAGTGAAATTTGTGTTATTAGTTCATAGTATATGTTGAAACAGATTTTTGCTTGTTTGGCACCTGATGGTCTTTGAGACCCAGTTTTGAGCAAGAGTTAACCAGGGCCTAAAGGGTTGACAGAATCAACACTCTTAACAGATCTCAAGGATTTGGGATCAAATGGCAGTGGGAATCATTGGGATAGGATGTGTTGTGTGGTATTGCTGAATCACGAAGGGAAGAAAGTATTGAATATTTTACAAAATTCAGGGACCTTCTATTATATACATTGATTTTTTATTATTGCTTTATGTAACACATCACAGTACCTGAGAAACTGACAGTGGGTCATTATAAATGCATCTCTTATCAAATAGATAAACAGTTTGTGTAAAACACAATTATTGGCATTAAATGCCTAGAGAAATACAAGATAATTTGATAGTCATAATATACAATATGTGCTTCAGACTTTCTACCAATAACAAAATGATATATTTCATACAGTAACAAAGATAGATGTAGATACATAGGATTTTCATTTGCAGACCTGGAAACTTGCCAATTTCCATTGTCCTTCAGCAGATTCTTGCATATGCACCCTTAGTAGTGCCGCAAAGTTAAGGTGATACTGTGCCTTTTTGTAATTGTTTTGCAGCAACTTGCTGCAATGGATTCACAAGCGGTGAGTTCAGCAGTGCAGCTCAACTTCATCCCTCAGTTCCATTTGGTACACAGTGTTCCTTCTGTACTCCCAGGAAAAGAAAAAGAAAAGGGTAAATTTGATGAACTAGGAGGCCGTGTGGTGAGATGTCCTTTCCCAATTCAGTTGTTAGGGAATTGCTGATTCAGGAAGTTGGTCAGTATATTCATGTAGTATGATTTAGATTATTCTTGCTAGAAGCATTCTTATGGTAGCTGAGGCTGTGCATAATTTTCAAGGCTTGCTGTTGCTGTTACTTCTGAACAGAACTTCATGAAATCTGAAGCCAGGGCACAACACACACTTCCTTTAGAACTGTCAGATTCATGTTCCATATCACTGTAGATTTTCACTCGAAATTGAACAGTTATTTTCACACAACCAAATATGTGAAACATAAACACGTATTAAAGATAAGCAGCGACACACAGAGAGAGCCTACACAGAACAATACCTGAACAGCAATAAAACAAGAAGTGGCCGCTGCAGCACTATAGACATTGGGTGTGTACCCTGAGAAAACTTTAAATTTTTAAAAATTTGGAAAAAGATAAAGAACAGAAAATTTATAGACATTTTAATTTGAATTGAAGTTTTAAAAAAGTGCCAATTTTAGAAATCAAATTGACGTGTGTAGGTTAACAAAGATTTTATACATACATACAATTGGAAAGACTGGTGATCTTAAATTTTAAACTACGGGCAGTGTAGCAGCTACGTAAGAATACACACCTGATGATGGCCATTTAGGGCCGAAACATGTAGTGTGTAGGAAGGGAAGAAGAAAGAACTACAATTAAATTGTTACACTTAAGATGGAGTTTGTCTCATATATAATGTGAAACATCACCTCAGAAAAGGCAGTGTGGTTTGTCATTGTCTGCCTATGAAAACATGTTCAATGTGTATGTGTTTCTGATAGGCTTGTCATTTACGTGAAGCTTCTGTACGATCTGAATGTGGTAGTTGCACGGGGTTGCGTGCAGTAGACTGTGGAATGCCCAGTTAGTGACAGGTCTGATGAACCTGTTTACAGGGGCAGTGTTTGAAAGGCTTCTTGTGTTGCTTGTGTTCTTTGCTCATCCACCTCCTGATTACTGCTTCCTTTAAGAACCAGTTTCCAATAGCAGTTTATGCCACACTGCCATGGTGTTACTCAGGTGGATCCTATCCACGTTCCTGCCAGAAATAACTTTACACAGTAACACAGTAACTGGAAACTGAATCTGGCAAGCCAAAAACAGCACTTGACTCCCTGCTGCACTGCGAACTAGTGAAATGCATGTACAGCACGGTAGGTGGAATTCTTGCGAGCAGCATTTTGTAAATAAACTTGAATTTTTATGTTTGCGACAGAAAAACCCATGTGTCTGCTGTTCTTAATTTACAAAATATACCATTTTGTTATTGGCAGAAATTCTGAGAGACATGGTTTATGTTTGAATTGCATTTTTAAGACATATTTTGCAGCAGTGAGGTAAGATATTTTTTTCACAATTACTGGTCATCTAATTAGGCTATACACATTTATTAAAAAATATTTTGTTATAGTGTTATTAATTTGTGTTTGTGTATCATTTTTGTAAGATGAAGTGGATACATGTTTTCAGAAATTTATGGATTAATATAAAGCTAGTTCAGTTATATTTGTTTTTTCCTACTGAAATAATTATCAGTTGGTTTGGCTCTGAATTATACAGGGCGGTCCAAAAAAATGTACTCACTCTTTGATAGTCAATATCTTTGGAACAAAATGATATATAGTCATTATATGTGTTTGAAGTGACCGCCATCAGCGGCTAAACAGTGTTGATGCCCCTGAACTGCTGAGCGAACTACGGCTGTCAGTGTGTCTGGTGTGATGGCTGCACACGATGCTTCGATGGTTTCTCGTAGTGTCAATAAACTTCATCCTTCAGGGTTCCTCATAGGTAGAAGTCAAGAGGTGTTAGGTCTGGAGCCCGTGGTGGCTACTCAATAGCACCTCTTCGACCTATCCATCGTTCAGGGAGAGCGTCATCCAAGGACGCCCTGACATCTCGATGGTAGTGAGGTGGAGCACCATCTTGTTGTAGGTAACATCTCTGATCTCCAAACAGCACTTGAATGACAGGGAAAATCGATGTCTGAAGCATATTGAGATAACCTGACCAGTTGCGGTACCTGCAAAGAAGAAAGAACCAATCAAACCGTGCGATTACGGACCACACCACACATTAACACCCGGTAGGTTCACTTCCTTGCCCACAAGAACGTGTGTATTTACAGGAGCTGTTGGTGGCTGAGTTCCAAACTCATTCTGCCATTGTCCTTGTACCTCTTTAATGTTTTCGTACTTCCAGTACCACTTCAATACAGCCTTGCGTTGCTCAAAGAACAACCTTTCAGCCATTGTTGCTGCTGTCTTCTGCTCGCAGCGCGCACGCGGCACGACGTGTGACTTATTTGACCTTCGCCATCTATTGAGAAAACATTACACTACACTACTGCGCAAGAATTGTAACTACATGCCATTTTGTTCCAAAGATATTGACTATCAAAGAGTGAGTACATTTTTTTGGACCGCCCTATATTCATGGCTTATTTTGTCACTGTGATGACTGCCAAACGTGTTTTCTCTCCTCTTCTGCTGTCCAGTTACAACATTTATAATGTTGACCACCTACAGGGCGAAACTGTTCAGTAGAATTCACTACTAAAGCAGAGTGTTTTTCTCATATTATCTGTTGCTCTTGTCAGGTAAGAGAATTTTTTCAGAAGCAAGTATTTGTGAAATGAAACAGAGTGTAGATGTCACAATTTTGAAGATGATACTGATTCCTGGTGTTGAATTGAAGACAGAAGTGTGGGAAGAAGCTAGGAGCCTGATTTAAAAATGAAAGTATTGTTTTAAGTTTGCATGTTTGAGCTTTCAATCCCAGGCTAACTCAACCTTGAGAGCCCCAGGCCACCGGTGATACCTGGACTGTAAATCATCTTGTATTAGAAGTGTTAAATGCTTATAATGTTTTAATAAAGTTACTGCAAGTGGTGCACAGATATATTTTATTTGTAGTTTATTTTCTATGTTTTAAAACAGATTGTCACTAGCTAGCATTTAAGAGATAACTGTTAAAGATCTTCATAGGGAGCCCATGTTCCACAGTTTTTTTTCCCTCCAAGTAAATACCAGATTAGAACTTCAAAATTAAGCCGTGACCACGGTCGGAAACATGCACGACATAAGTTTTGTGCACAGAAAGTATTGATGCAACATTTTAGTTTGTATTTGACATTTGTGGAATAATGGAAATGTATACGAGCAGCTATTTTGGAAAAATGAAGTTGTTAAATTGTATGCTCTTTCGCTCGTGTGTGGACGAGTTGGAAGTGTTTTGTGGTTGGTAAGCCTCCTCGCATCTAAGAGTCACAGAAAACACATGCCATGTCATATACACAATATGGGAAGATGATTAGTCAAGAACTGATGGGAAGAACTTGTTTTTTTTTTATAACTGTTCTATGCATATGCCAAGGAAGGAAGGTTGCATGTAACTGGTTAACTTGCCATTGTTCATTGAATGATTGCTCACTGTTGTTATATATCCTGTTAGCAAGCTGCGCACTCGCATGTATGTCCATCTGCTCTTCTCTGTAACTACGGACGTTAGTATTAGTCCTGCACACTTATATGTCGAATTTCATATGAATGTACTGCCCTTGGAAATACCGCCATCTTGACAATCTATTGTAATCACTAGGGCCCGGCTTTTTTAAAATGCATATTTTGAGGGGTTTTGGTCGTTATTGCATATTCTAAACGTAAGAGCATATTTCTGCATATATGTTTGGAATTAAGGATAATTTCAGTGTTCTCTAACAAAATCGGTTTTTCTGTGTTTTGGAAATCTCTTGCCAGTTGCTATACTCAGCTCTCTGAGTAACGGCACTTTTACCACTTACAATACAAGCAGGTAGCTTGGCTATTTCGAAAGGGAGGGGGTGGGATTTTCCTACATTCCATTGACCACCACAGCAGACAGCATCAGCGGGTTGGTCTTGAGAGAAGTCTCTTCAGTTAATGTGTTACACTTTTCTTTAATAGTCAGCATCAAAAAAGTGTTCATGTACTGGAAATGCCTAAAGAAAAGTGCAGCAGTAGATATTTAAAAATTCGGTGGGTGTCGGGTAACAGTGACTATTCAACAGACGGTG